AGAGATTATATGGGAGTGTAATAGTAAAGCGTTCTTCCATCATATGAGAAGTGGTACAATGTTAACTTATGGTAGCTGTGATGAAATAAGGATGAATATTGTAATCCATAGAGCCCCTGCTAAAATGGAATGAAAGAGGGGATGTTATCTAGATCCTACAGATGTTAAAAGATAAAGAAATATTATAAACAACTTTATAAAAATAAATTTAACAACTATAAAGGAAATAAATACTTTTGCATGTTACTATATATAAATTATACCTCACTTAAAAGTATGTAGCAAAGGATCTTTAGTTTAATATGTATCTTGATGTCATTAGTCACTTTGGTCTATTTTTAGATAGAAGTCCCAAGGAGGCTATGATTTATATACATTAATAACAAGCGATTAGAGTTGGTCGTAGAATTTCGTGACTCCAAAAGTAACAGCAAAATGTCTTTAATTAATCTATGTTCTTCTGTTCTGTTCACTCCATGTTTTTTCATAGTCAACACTGGAGCCATAAAGCCATCTGGAAATGCTGTGAATGCAGCATTAGTGGTAATAAGTAGTGATGTGTGTTAACTATGTAAATCGAGGCTCCAAAGCCAACTACAGGGCATTTGAGAAAAGTCCAGTTCCACAGACGCTCTTTCTTTAATTGGAGGCAAGAAGTCGACAATGCAGAGCTGATGTTCGGCTATTTCGGGGTGTTAGTGGACATTGTTTTATAGACTGAAAATGTGGAAGACATTGCATAACCCCAAGTATTTTGCAGTAGAAGCTTCACTGGGATACTTGGGATAAAAGCTTATTAAAGTGCTGCTTGACGTGCTTATGTGTGTTCATCCTTTTGTGTTTTCATGAGCAAATCTCAAAATGTCACAGCACAACTGGAATCCCAGGAAGTAATCTTCATGAAATGTAGAAAAATTCCCAGGGCAATGGAAGGTCCAACAAACTGTGCTGCTTCTCCCCAACTCCCACCCCTACAAATCCGTGTAGTGCTGGGCGCACAGTGCATGCTCAATAAATAGTTGTGGAAGTGAATGAATGGATGGATGGATGCCTGCATCCAAACCGGATTCATTCAACAACAAATCACCTACTCTAGACCCATTATTAAGTGTTGCGGGGGTTGCAAAAGGACCACGAGACATGTGGTCCGAGAACCCTTAACTTCTAAGTAGGAACACTGGCAGACATGTGAAACCACTAAGGAAAACAGGAGACTCTTTAATAGCAGACTGTCTTTGTAGGATTCTCGGCCGCTCTCATTTCCCAGGAAGATAACATTTCATTTGGTAATAACCAAGTCCTCAGAGAGGTTCTTATCACCCCTTTTAAAAGATCTTTCTCCCAGTTTTCTTCTGTTTCTTCAAGAGCATAAAAAATAGGCTCTTATTAATAGTTCTGTTGTCCCTCCATTCCCATGAAACCATCTCTTTCGTTTGCTTGGATGTTGTGTGTGCTTAAAGAAGGGGCAAGGATTATGGAGGTGGAGCCATAGGTCATTTGATCTTCGGAGAAGTAAGGGTGGTATATGTGATCACTGCCTGGTACTAGTGAGTTCATATCTTGCCAGACACAAAGCATCAAGAATAAGCACAGTTTCCAAAACAGCCTTTGCTTGTTCTAGTATCAAAAAAATGGAAAGCTCAAGAAAATACTTGTAAAAAAAAAAAAAAAAGGAAATCTGCTTAGAGAAAATACCCCAGTTCCCAGACTTTATTTGGCAGGGAAAAACTACAGTGAAGCCAAGGAACCTTTTTCGCTCTCTTAATACGTCCTTTTTTAACCTTCTATTTAAAGCTCCAATCTTAAGGCAGTATTCTAATTTTAGTGTTACCAGTATGTCTTCGACCTCACTAGTCCATGAGCAAAAAATAAAGCCACATTTATTTTTCTTTTTCTTTCACATTTATTCTCAATGTCCAATATCTTCTTCCCTAATTGTCAGAAATTAGTCCCCTATTGCTCAGGAACAAACCCAATCTTCCTATCCCAGCCTACCTTCATGTCACCTTGTCACTGATGTCACCCTCATGAAATGGACCTGCACGGCAAAGCTGCCCTTTGCCAGATGGCCACCAGTGTCACCCTCTCTCCTCCCAACAGTGGCCTTGGTTAGGGTCATCGCTTACGTCTTTACCCTTCCTTCTAATGCACAGATATATGACTTTTTTTATTACCAGACAATGGAGTTGAAATTAAACTATGCCTTTTGATGGGCTTTATCAAAATATTGGGGGTACTGTAAAAATATACAACCTAGAGAATGATTTATAACCACCACATGGGCACGGACCTAGGGTCAATTTTACCAGGTCAGTTCCTGCCTGGCCTCTCTCTGTGTGTCCAAGTGAAACTAATCCTTGCCCCTCAAAACTGAACTCTTCACAGAATGATTAACAGTGGAGGCGTCTATTCCCTCCTCTCACCTCTTCAGTAAATATTTGTTGAATATCTAGAATGTTCCAGGTACCGAAGATATAATGGAGACAAAAACAGACCTCATGGAGTTTAAAGTCTGGAACTGAAAAAAAAAAAAAAAAAAACCTAAACCAATCATGACATAATCAAATGGTATTAATTATAAAATGTCCCAAGTGCTATAGAGCAAAAGTTGTGGGATTCCATGAGAAAATCTAATTGAAGGAGCTAATTTGAATTGGGTAAGCCTAATAAGGCTACTTTGAGCAACTTATATTGAAGTTGGGACTGAAGACTGGGTAAGAATTAGCCCAGTCAAGAGCTGGGCAAAACGTCTCCTCAATCCCCTGAGAATAATGATTGCAGGTATGAAGGGTCTGTTGGAGAAGAAGCTTGGGAAGACCACTGGAGCTCAGCTGAGGAGAGTGGGGACAGAGGAGCCTTCCCACATAGGCACTGGAAGGCCATGGCGAGGACTTGGGATTTTATCCCAAGGGTAATTGACTGCTCTTGAAGGGTTTTGAGCAGAAGAGTGAGTGACATGTTTTGATTGATATATTAAGAACATTCTGACAGCCATGTGCAGAATAAATGCAAGAGGAGCAAGAGGGCAGTCGAAAGATAGCCAGTGACTTTCCCAATGGTCTGAGCAAGAGATGATGGTGGCTCAGATCATGATGTTGGCAGGAGAGATAGAGAAGTAGTCAGTTTCATGGTATGTTTAGAGCAGAACTAATGGAATTTGGTGATAGATTACGTAGGGGAGTGTAAGGAGAGAGGAGAGCCACAGCAGCAGGGAAAGGAAGGCTTCTAGTTTCTGACTTGGGCAGCCGGGTGTGTGGTTTGATATCTGGGCACTGATACAACAATCAGACAGTAGTCAGTACATTCCTCAAAGTCTGAGTTACTGGCTCTTAAATATTCCACCTGGGAATCGTCAGTGGCCCAGGGACAGGCTCAGGCTAACCCCTTTTCAATTTGTCTTTTACAACATCATACATCCTGGCAATCCAGCCTCATCCATGGCTGCCCCATTACATCAGTTTTTACAAAAGTTAATTTTGCATTAGACTTCCTCCCCAAGCAATTGCCAGAATACACCAGTAATAAATTTAATTCACTCATTCATTATTCATTCAAGACATTAAAGAGAGAAACAACTTATCATAGTGATTGAGAATAGGACCTCTGAGTTCAAATGTCACCTCTCCACTTAGTAATTAAGAGGCTTTGGGCAAGTTCCTTAGCCTCTCTGTAACTCAATTTCCTCATCTATAAAATGGAAATGACAGTAGTATCTACTTCAAGAGCTTTTACAAGGCATAAATGAATTAATCGTATGTGGTGTATTTCAAACAGAGCTTGGCACATTAAGGACTCAGATGGTGTATTGCTTTTCATTAATTCAAGTGTTACTAAAAACTTTCTACTTCTCCAGCACTGTTCGATGCTAGGAGGCTGCCTGACAGAGTAGAAAGCCTTTTTTTGAGTCAGATTTGACTGCAAGTCTCTGATCTCCTACCAAACCTCTCTGAATCCAAGTTCTCTCATTAATACTATGAGGGCAATATTACCCACCCCGAGTGGTTATTGAAAGGATGAAATCAGAAATCGTTGAGCAGGGCCTTGTAAATGTTCAGTAAATGTTAGGTTCTTCCCCTACTCAAAAGAAGCTTCCTTTCCTAATTTATATAGTGCACCTCCACCTTTGCCACAGGAGATCCCAGTGATAGGAAGGTAATTTCAAACTTTTTCATAGGCTTACAGTTAATGAATAAGGCTAATGTTTTTTTCAGAAATTATGCTCGCTTGCTCTTTCAGCATAGTATGGAGTTCTTTAAAAGACGGCAACATGGATATGGACATCTTACTTCCCAGAGAGAATGGTCCACAAAGATTTTATTTGATCCCCAGATCACTCACGTTTCCCACTTCTACTCAGACCCTTTCCTAATGTCATAACCCACTTCCTCTTCCTGCCCCATCGCCACCTTAAGCAACCAGAGTAAGAAAATACAGGCACCAGCCCAGAGAAAACACTCTTGGTTGTCCTGGAAAGCATAGATTGCCTAGGCTTTTGTTTTCGAAGATGACTACATAGTTGCCTTTGGCACAACCTTGCAGGTGGCAGAGTTCACTCTAGACACCTGCCTCTCCCACCTGCGGTCCTTATGGTGGCCTGGCCCAGGGTTCTTGGAACTCGCCTTTTCTGGTTCACATGAGCTGTTTGCATCTTGATATAAAGGTGCCTAAGTTGTTGTGTATCCCCTCAGGAGCAGTTGTACTTTAAGACTTATTTGCAATGTAGGATGAAAGCTTTGTTCTGTTAAGGGAATGGAAGACTCTTGTGACCAGATGGAGATTCCTGAAGAGGGTCCTTCCTTCAGTCCTTGAAATCTCACTCATCCTATGCTATAGCTGACCCTAAATGAATAATGTACACAAAGACCTTCCCTCTGATAGGCTTTTAGGGGACAATTGGGGCAAGAGAGGGTATATATGGAGATAAGAAAAAGACTAATGTATATGACTATCAACAGCATAGTAAAAAATACTATGACTAATAGGGTGTCTTTGGATTTCAGAGAACAAATCCGTCAAGGCCTTGAAGAACTCCAGAAGGTCCTGCCAGGAGGAGACACTTACATGCATGAAGGATTTGAAAGGGTAATTTTAAAACAGTTTTCAACTCCAAATGTAAAGTGTGATATGGAAACATCGACATATATATGGTTGATGAGAAAAGGCACATGTATTAAGGAAACCAAATAACATTCAATGGCAAATAAATTTTAAAAAAATTTCCATAAGCCTGTACACTAATGCTATCCAAAAGAACTGAAGAAATAAACTTCCTTGCTCCTTCCCTGACGCTGGGGAAAGGTTTGTTAGCTAATGCTTGGCTGACACTCATGAGTCATGCCACATGCAAGTGCTGTCCATTCCCAAGGTCAAATTTTCTACCTGTTGCTTCAGTGGTTGTGACAGAATTTCAGTGACTTCAATCTTGAGGAAAACAAGTCTCAATCCGTGAGAAATAAGACAGTGATCCATGTTTGCAAGTATATTAGTTAAATATCAGGATAACTTTAGATGAATCTCACCCTTCGATATTTGAGTGCAGCCTGGGTGGAGTGCATGAAAAATCAAGACTGAGCCATGGCTGCGTATCCAACACCGGATCCCACTGCCCAATATGGTATTTGGAGCAGCAAAGAGTGGCTGTGTGTCTCATGGCTCTTTCATGTGTTTTTCAGGCCAGTGAGCAGATTTATTATGAAAACAGTCAAGGTAAGACTATATTATGAATTACCATTATGAATTATTTAGCTTTTTTCTGTGTTTGCTTCTGAAAAAGTGCCTCAGTAATTCCATGTTTCAAAAGACATTCGATATTGCCTGTAATCCTTGGACACACACTTCATCACAAAGAAGGAATGCACAGTAAGATGACATTTAGCAGATCCAATTCCACTATCTTGTTGATGCCAAGAAAAGTGATATAAAAGTAACTAAGATCCCATTATGAGTTACAGTCTGCAATGCCCATGAACAGTTTTGCATGTTGAATTCATTAAATTAGTAAATTCTTGGCTGAGTTAGTAAAGTCTTGGATTTTTACATCAAATCTAATTTTCTTGTCCTCTGAGCTCCAAGCCTCTTCATTACTATGATCGGATATGATATTAAGATACTAGTTTAGTTTGAAATTTCCTTCAAAAAATTTACTTAATAGAGTGCCTAGCACATAGAACATTAGTTCTATTGTTATTATTATTTTAGCTATTATTATTACAGTGTCTTTCATGAATAACATTTCTTTGTCTGAAGCAAATTTCTTTTAAAAGATTCAGTATTGCAGTGGGGATTTTTCTCCCAGGCCTGTAGAGAGGTCAGCTTCTGATTTTACTCTAACCTACAATAAATAAAATAGATCCAGTATCAACACCAACACCGGTTAATATAAATCATCCATCAGCAATGTTACTAGAAGTCTAAATGTCACCAGAAAAATTCTAGTAGGTTTTGCCAACTGCTATAATCCAGTCAGCATGTAAATCATGATGACTATTCCTCTTTGTCAAACTCTTCAAGGGGTGATGCATGTGGTCAACTGCAGCATGTGAGGACCTCTGAACAGCCCAAATGGTAGAGTTTGCTCCCAGGCCGTGGCGACAGTTGCATGGACTGTTACTAGAAATAACAGGTAGTTGATTCACTGGAGTCACTCCTAACTATCAGTCCAGAAACAATTTCACCAGGTTTGGCCATTTTTTGAGAGAAGACTGAGAAACCCAGAAACAAGAGCTTATCTCTGCATTCTTCTTCATGCCGGAGTTGCTTGCGGTCCCAAAAGAAAAGTTGCAGATTCCCACAGTATTGACCTCAGGTGGCTGAGCTTATAAGAGAAGAGATAGACTCTCAGGGCTGAGAAAGGGTTTCCCGTGGTGCGTCAGGAAGGACTGAGTGGGTCTGTGTTGTGTTGAGCAGGGTACAGGACAGCCAGCGTCATCATTGCTCTGACTGATGGAGAACTCCACGAAGATCTCTTTTTCTATTCAGAGAGGGAGGTAAGCGATGGTCTGGCCTGTGTCTGTCTAAACAGACATGGAAAAGAGCTTCTTCCTTCTGAAATGGGCTACAATCTTTCTACTTGGTCAAATGATAATTGTCTTCGTAAAACTCCTGAATAAAATAGTGTCTCGTATGTAAAAAATAATAATTCAGTTTTTAAAGTGAATTTTCATGTCTTATACATGGTAGATATTTTTCTCCTTTCAAAATATTTCCATATTACTGTATGTTTGGGGGTGACTAAAAAAATATCTACCATACCTTTATTGAAAGCAATATATTGATCTACCAGTTTTGAAATAGTATGTATGATTTTAAAGCAAAACCATCGGTACCATTTTTCCTCCATTTCCCCTTACATTTTCTACTAAAAACAGGAGGAGGGGAAAGAATTGCCTAAAATATTAAGAGCCAACCTTGGCAGACTGTATTAATCATTGAGATTCTCACTCTAAGAACCAAAGTTGAACATTAATTGATGACAAAGTAATTGTAATTTCTCCTTCTACATTTCTTTTTTCCTTTTCTTTATGTTCTCATAAAGTACTCCTCAAAACAAATTAATGAATTCTTTCTAAATGAAACTTTCAATTTGTATAAAGAAATTCAGAAAAAGAGGTTTATTCAAAATCGAAAAGTAGTATTTATATTTAGGAAACTCTTTCCTTTCAAGTTTTAGATTTGATCTATATTTATAAATGGCCCCAGGAAACCAGTTAACCATGGGAATATATTGAAGCCTCATTAGCAACAAAGACTTATTCAGGCCAATTAAAAAGAAACACAATAGGGAGATGCTGGCTTCTCAGAGGAGAGTTAATCAGAGCATTACACTTACCTCAACCTCTTGACTGCTATTTAATTTAAATTCAGCACCCTCAGCAAGTAAGTAGTCATTTGTTCATTCATTAACAGAAAGCTTGGCATATGCTGGTCATTTTGCTGGACACGAGGGACACAGAGGCAAGTAAGACACAGATGCTGTCCTCATGGGCCTTACTGTGTAATAATGTTAAGCTTTTTGATACCTCTGCTGACAAAGGGCATGATCAAATTATGTAGGTGAACACATTACTTCCCCGCTACCCCTAACTAGTACAAACGATAATTCACAGTGAATATGACAGGCACTCCCTGAGCATTTAGAAAATAATATAATTTGTTTATTCTAAAGTTGAAACTCTGTAATGAGAATGTAGAATGGCTTATCTGGGTACCAAATAGCAGTCTAATAAAGTAAAAACCCTAATAAGGAAAAAATTCAATAGAAAATAAATGATAGGTATCAGAGGCTTAAAATAGGGGTTAGTAGAAAAGAATTTTAGGTATGCCTATACAAACTCAGAAAAATATGTGGAGTGCCAATGCCAATAGGAGGGTTTCTGAAAAAGAAAGATAAAGCCCAAGATAGATAAAGAAAATGAAACTTTCTATTTTTGATAATTCTATATAAAGCCAAACTGGAAAAGAAGTGTCAACGGAGTTTCAAATAAGGCTGGGACTAGACTGTGTCTAAAAGTTTGTTTTATCCTGAAAGCATCAAGAATTATTTCTAACATGAAGAAAAAAAGATAGATGTTTCTGTCCCTTCTAAAATTCAATATTAGTCACAAATGGATTTGAGTACTAGGAGAGGGAATAAAAAGAACACAATTCAAATCAATAGGTATATACTGAGTGCCTACTATATGTTTGCTATCAATTATTTATTAAGCACCTCCTATATGTACCAAGGATTTCCAATTTTTTTTTTCTATTCTAAAACACAGAAGAATCTGGAAATCAGTTATCAGAGCCCTTAATAAATCAAGTCTTAAAATCAAGCCAAAACCTGGATGTTATTCATTATGTTGTCCTCTCAGTGCTTAATTGTAGAGAAGGCCGTGGGTTCACCTACTCAAAAGCGCACCATAATTCCCATACCATTAAACCGATGTATCCTATGGCATTGAAAACAGCTTTATTCACAAAGGATGCTGACATTTTTGAGCATCTGCATTGTTCTAGGCCTTGTGTGAGCAGTTCTGCATGTATTATGTCATTCAATCCCCCAAAATACTTTACAGAGCAAAGCCAAGTGTCAACCCCAGGGATATCGAGTTCCAAAGGCCACATCCTTTCCATTATACCATGCTGCCACTACAAAGGAAGAAAAAGTATGTCAATAAAAATCCATCAGAGGCACAAAAAAGATAATCGTTCCCCCAGAATAATGAATATGACTTAACTTACCCTGGCCTACAGTTTCTCTTTCTTCCCCTCGTCTTTCAAAGCCCTTCATCAAGACTCTCCTCTTGTGGGTCTTTCTCAACACTTCCCATTTGACTAATCACTCCCCTCACGTCCACCACACGTTCCCTTAGAATGTGACATTCACTGACGTATAAGTTCTTTCAGGACAGGGATGATCTTCTCCATTGTGGTACCTGGCACATAGTAGAGGCTCAGTAAATACTGATAATTGCATTAGTCTGGCTAATCTAAAAGAAGTGTTTGCCACTGCTTCTTTCTTTAATGTCTTTTCTTTCACTGACCTAGGCTAACAGATCCCGAGACCTTGGTGCAATTGTTTACTGTGTTGGCGTGAAGGATTTCAATGAAACACAGGTATGATTGTGTATTTCCTCAGGTTTGAGAGTATATCAAGCTTATGAGTGATTCTGTGCAGAGGATGCATCAGCAGCATAAATGCCCCTTAGATAGAGTATTTTTCCAGAAATGCTAAGTAGGCAGGGAATTATTGGATATGTAAGGAATGTGAAGCCATTTGCAGATGTACTTGAGAGCTTTTAACACAGACCATCCAGGCAACATCTTTCTTGGTTGCTTTTCACCGTAGATGCTAAACTGCCAAGGTGTCAAAATAAATCTGAATTAACTTTGGAAACTTGTTGGTTGTTTTATTTTTTTTAATTAATTTGACGAATTCGAGTTTTTTATTTAAATGGCAAATATCCCTTTTCTCCCATTAAACATACAATGCATTTTCAATGTAAAAAAAAAAAGTGGAAATAATTGGCAAGTGGGCAAAAAAAGTATATACAAGTATACATGAGCAAATTGTGAGAATTTGCTAACAACCTAAATAAATGTTCCTCAATGTAGTTTGTAATTTTTTTCTTTTAATAACATGAGACAGTGTTCATAATATGTTGTTAAGTGAATAAATAGGGTTACAAAACAGTGGGAATAGTATAAGCCCACATTTTAAATAAATATGTGTGTATTCCATAGAAAAATTATGAAACACTATATATGTATGTATATATGTATATGTGTATATATATATGTATGTGTGTGTGTGTGTGTGTGTGTGTGTGTGTATCAAACTAACAACAAGAAGAAGATGATGGGTAGATGGATGGGTAGATGGATAGACTATGAGTAACTGTTTAAAAATTTATTTTAACACTCCTGGGTTTTCTGAAATTTCCTAATGACTATGTGTTACTTTTGCAATCAATAAAAATCCTGGCACTGACAATGACTGTGGCAATCACAGAAATGTACAGAGGTTTTCAGGTGGAAAAGCTGACAGATCAGCTTCTCCTTCTTTCAGTCCTCTGCTCTGTAAAGCAAGAGCAGCCAAACCAACTACCAGGGTCCTTTCCTCGTGAGAAATTTGGGTGAAAGATAAGGGTCTGCATTTGCTGGCCTCACCCAACACCAAAGCTTGCATTTATTTTTAAAGTTGCTTGAAAGGAAACTTGAGTTTGTTTGGTTTGAATACAGTTGCCAACAGAAATCTGAGTGAATGAGAGAAAAATGAGCCAGTGGCCTGCCCCCAAATCTATGAATACAACAACTCAGGCCAAATGTTCTTCTAGCTGGGCAATCGTACCTCTGCTCCCAAGGAGAAAAGTATTAAAAGAAATGTACAAACCTGAGCCAAGCCTCTGGGCCCACTCCAGAGGGTCTGCTGGTAAGCTCATTATTACCGGGGGCTTTTCTGTGAGGCCCCTGGGTCCAATCAAGAACTCAAGTTCCTCTGGTTCTAAGAGTAGGCGGAGCCCCCTGGACCCAGTGACTTTCCTCCATTCTCCACGTCCAAGAGTGACACATCTCGGTGTGTGTTTGTATGTTTGTTCTCAGCTGGCCCGGATCGCGGACAGTAAGGATCACGTGTTTCCTGTAAATGACGGCTTTCAGGCTCTGCAAGGCGTCATCCACTCAGTGAGTAGAGCACCTCCTCCGAGACTGGATACTAGGGCCCCCTGATCTGCCCTAAATGCCCCAATTCCATCCTTCTAAAGCTGGTGTTTTCCTGCTTAAGTGGACATTGCTTTGTATATCTGTCATGTCCCACTTCTGCCTCTTGCCTTTCACACTTGTTTCTTTCTTCATTCTCCTGTACCAATTCCACCCTATCATAAAAAATTTAAAATGAAAGGGAATCCTGCTCTGGCAGCCGGGTTCAGGCAGCCCCCAATTCTCATACTGGCAAGACCGTGCTGATGGTGTGCATTTGACAGACCTCAGCTTTCCCAACCATGACTGAATGCAAGCTGCTTTCAGAGAATTCGTAGGGTCAACCTGTAGCATTTAGCCATCAAAGGCACTTTGAACCCACGGTTCTCTGCCTTGGCTGCCCATTGAAATCTTCTGGAGCAGGATTTTTAAGATCTTCTCAGGTGATTCTAATGGAGCCACTGCTTTAGACCTGTAATCCCCAGATAGGAAGGCTTCAGCGTTCTTTAGGTTGCACAATTACCAGCCCTCCTTCCCATCCCAACTTGGTTTTGTAATCACCCCATCCTTGTCAATAAACTGGACACTGGTTTCCAGGACCTCTCTTTTCCACCTTCCATACACAGGCCAGGCCTTTGGTCCAGCTGGCATGTTAGATGATGCTGGTCTTTAAAGCCCCACCCGAAAGGTCGGTGTGTGTGCTGTACCTGTACTGAAGTCCAGAGGCACCGCAGCCTCGACCTTTAAGTTTTCAGACCAGGCAGACAGCCAGTGGTTTCTCCAGTTGGAGCTCAACAGGATATAGGATGCAAATTCAGAGCTCAGAGGACCACTGTCCTCTTAAGATGTCAAAGGGATCTTGACCCAGAGGTTACCAGCCAGAGGCTCTGGACCTGCCCAACTCCCCTAGACTGACGCAGGAAACCTCCAACATGGATCTGCCTTCATGTTCCCTTTCCTTTCCTCCAAGGTTTGCTAAGAACTCCAGCAAAGTGAAAAGCAGAGTGAGAAGTAAGAACTTTGGATCTGATCAGCCCAGAATTTAAATGCTGGCCCAACGAGTTACCATTTATAGATAGATCCTTAGATGAATTATTTCACTTATTTTCTTATTCATATAAGGGACTGATGATAATACTTATATCATTATCTTGTTTAAGGATTGCAAGAGATAACTAGTAAAAATACCTAATAATTTTTCAGACACACAACAGTACTCAAGGCATATGAAATAATTCCATGTTTTATCAGACATTAACATCAGATTCCCTTGATCCTCTAACTTTTCTCGAATATATATAAAAATCACCTGGGAATCTTGTTTACAATACTCATTCTCAGGCTCTGTCCTCAAGGGCTTTTATTGCAGTGGGTCTAGGGCGGAGCCAAGGAATCCAAATCTTTTAAATCTGTGCTTTTTAATAAATGCCCAAGGTATACTTTCAGAATGTTGATATATGTGAACTTAAATTTTCAAAATTTTGAAAAATAATTTTACCTTAGGCTGGGAATTCCTGTCTTAAATATGTACATCTGACAGTCATCTTCTTCAAGATGTGTTTGTTTGCAAGGATCAGGAACTCACTCAAACTACTTTAACCAGAAAGTGGAAATTACTGAAAGGATAGAGAAGGATCAATCCCAATTATGGATCCCCAGTTGAAGCACCTCTGCTGTAAATAATGTCTGGAGTCAGTGTGGCATATTTGGCAATATAAACAAGAACTGCAACAACATAAAAAAACAGTGCATGATTAACAGCAGGATTTGGGCCCAATCGTGAATCCTTTGAAAGCTCAGAGGTGGATGATTCTAGGCTGGAGCCTTGGTGAGAATGTGAGGCAGACCTGAATCCCTGAACGACCAAGGAGGAGTAATGGGTAGCACCAGAGAAGAGATGGCATGACCTCAGCCCAAAGCCTGGAAAGGAGCAAAGTATATTCCCGGGACAATAATTATACCTGTCTGCCTGGTGGGAGAGTTTGGGTAAAGGAGTCAAGAGTAATGGGAAATTAGCTGAGACATTGGATCGGAATCAGATTGACAAGAGCCTTGAAGAGGTTTTAACTTCCACTTAGGTGTAATCACTGAAACATTTTTGAACACCTAACAAGTGATATTTAAGAAGAGAATCTGATGGCAGTGTGTACATAGAAGGGAGACTGGGGAGATCCAGAGGCGGAAGCCCAATCATGGGGCTACTGCAGAAATCCTGCCTTCAGGTGGCTGGATTCTGAACAGGGACAACGCATATCTGTTCAGAAGTTCGTATGAGCCATGTGCCTACATCATTCAAGAGTTGATTCCTACTCAAATAATTTGAATCTTTTATCTACATAAATCATTCTCTTCCTTATATATTTCAACTTTAACAACTCTCCTGAGCTCAACTTGAGCTTGGATGTTTATAAAGCTCTCCCCACACCCAAATGGAAATAACTCTAAAGATGTTTAAGAAATTTTAGCAAAATTGTCTCCCAAAAAGGGGAAAAGAAATAATTTGAGACTCCAAACTTTTAGCTGAATGATTACATTCTTAGGAGCTTTTATCTGGGAGTTATGCTCGCGGTTACGATCCTTTCAATATCTAAACCTATATTTATGGTAGTTGTTAATTTGCTTGCAGAGAAACAGGGACGAGCACAGCAGGGCTCATCTTTCTCAAACCAGACAGAAATAATTATGGCCTAAAAGTTGGCTTCCTATTTTTAAGAAGTAGGTTCATTTCTCCTTCTGGATACTGAAAAGAAAGCTCTCGTTTTCCCCCTCTGAAGCATCTGTTGCAGTTTGTTCCCATGGATGTTGTTTTGCAGCTGATTATTTTCTCATAATAAAATAGGACTGGGTTAATTATGCAAAATAAGAGTTCAGGGCAGCTTTCAATAAGCTCAAATGGTTCACAAAGTCATAATGAACTTATTTTTTCTAGTATTTATTCACTCATTGAGTACCCATTAAAAACCTTTTATGGTGAGCTCTGGCCATTCGATTACAAGTAAAGCAGACAGAGGCCCTACCCTGGGGAAGTTTACCATCTAGTGGGAGGGACACATAAAAACAAGTAAATAAATACGTATAATTAAAGTTGCAATATATGGCATAAAAGAAATAACATACTGCAGTACTGAGATTAAGAGTAAAGGAGTTGATGAACCTAAGCTCCTTTGAAGAGATAACCTGAAGGATGAAATGGAGCTATTGGTCAGAGGAGCATGGATAGAATACCCTGGCAGAGCAGAGCCCTAGGGTTGTGCACAGCAGAACATAAGGAGAGCAGTACCTAGGGTGGAGAATGGCTGAAGATGAAGTGAAGAAGCAAGCAGAGGCTAAGTCACTTGGAGCCTTGAAGGTCATTGTATTTAACTATAAGGACAGTGGGAAACTACAGCCAGATACGAAGTCTAACAATAGAGCAATCATGCTTCAAATCAGGGAATCTGGAGATTGTGGCGCTTTATCCATATCCCCTTTAGATGACAAATAGATAAATGCTCAGGATCAATAGTAATAAGACCCATAAAGAAGAAGAAAAATCACTATGATTAACTGAGCATCTTCCCTGCACCAGCTCCTCTGCTAAGCACTTCCACAACCGCTCAGTGAAGGAGGACTCGTTATCCCCACTTTACAGGTGAGGAAACTGAGGTGCGGGAGGGCTGGATAAACTGCCCCAAGTCTGTCCACTCGTAATGATGCAGTAGAGAATTTGAACCCGGGTCTGGCTTCAGAGCTCCTGCTCTTACCACAATACTTGGCCGTGAATGAGGAAATGAAAAATCACCACTGGATCCCAGGGCCTAGATTCGTCAAGCTCCCGGATTCTCTGCCTTCTCAATCTGACTCCCATGTATTGGGCTTTTCACTCTTTCTCAATTCTCTCAGTTTTAAGGGAAGAAGTCCTTATGTGTCAGATCTGTATAATGTGTTATTTTTTAAAGTGCTCTCTTCTGTTTTCCATTTTAGTCTCCCATCGATGGGCCATAGGGAAAAGACAGAAAGAAATCAATAGCTATAGATAACTTAAATAGGGGCCAAACGTTGTTCCTTTATCCCATTTAATATTATTTCATTTAAAAGTCATAAAATCCCTGTGAGAGAAATCGTCTTATTCCCATTTTATAGATGAAGAAACTGAATCTCAGATAACCTGCCCAAGAGCATGAGAGCGGGATTGACTTGAGTGCCCATGCCATCTCTCACCTCTATTTCCTTAAGAAGGTAAAAATAAGAAGTGCGGCCATTTAGTGAGTTCTTATGTGCTAGATAGACACCGTGCAAATCATTCCACATAGTCGTCTCATCAAATTCTCAAGATCATGACTTAATGTAGATGTTGTTACTCCTACAGAAGCAGATTAGCTAACAGAGAGATTAGCTAACCTGCCCAAGGCCACATAGCAATGGGCAGTGATCCAGAATAGATCCAGGTCTGTCTCTAACTCCCATGAGGAGAATAACCACAGTATGCTACTGAGTAATGTGGGTAGGCCAAAGAGCAGCTCCATTTCAGAGAAGGCGACACTGACAACCCAAATTGTGAAATGGCTTGATGCTGTCCACATAGTTACAGCAGAGGCAAGACCAGAACCCGTGTGGTCTGACCTGAGTGCACCAGGGGTGGGTGGGAGCGCTCTTTGCCTTTACTACTAGGTGGAGAGCACTCTGAAAACCCTGATTTCTGCTCAGTGGGTGAAATTCCGTAGTTGTGAGAAGCTGGCAGCTTGACACAGGCTAAAAAGAACATCTTCCCCTCCACAATTGATCAGGACTCCACATCTGAGGATAGTATTCCTACTTGCTTCTACAGAACATGGCTGATAAAATTATAAGACAAAATTTGGTTGGTTGGAAGATTGTAGCCCTTTAAGCCAGTAAAACTTTAAGGGAAGAAACTATTCCTTTGCCTTCTGCTATTGTGGCTTCTGGGGGAATTTCCACTGACCACAACTGTTAAGTGCAGCGCCAGCCCTCAAGTGAAAATATGA